CCGCTCCCAGCCGGCCACCGGCCCCGGCAGCGCCGCCCGCCCTCCCTCCGGCACCGGGGTCCCGGCGGTACCGGGGGAGAAGCGGAGGCAGGTGGGTAATGCCGGGGCTCCGCGGCGGGAGGGTGCAGCTGGTGGAACCTGTTGCTGTCCGGTACCGGGGGCTCCGTGGGTGTCCCGCTCCGCGGCGGGCGGGGGTCAGAGCCCCCCGGGAGCCCCGCAGCCGGGTATGYCCGACTCCGGTAAAAAGCACAGCGGGGACTGTCCTGACCCCTCACCTGCTGCCAGCCGGCCCTTGGCTCCGTTCCGAGCGCACGTCCTGGCAGCGGGGTCCCGGTAGGGAAAGCATTTGGAGGGTGGAGAGGGGATCGGAGCAGGGCCGGGGCTGTCCAGAGTCACCCGGGGTGCACGGGGAGCAGCGGTTCGGCCGGGATGAGGGTCTCCCACTGGGGCAGCTCCAGCTTGGGAGCCCTCGCAGGGGATGGAGGCGGGGGGCAGCCAAGGCTGGAAAGGGGTGCTAGCCAGGGTCCCCAAACAGCATCTGACCTGGGAGCTGCTGCAGCCTTCAAATTCCAGCGGAGCCCCGTGGGCCCTGGGGTTGCTGTCCCCTGGCAMCCCCAAAGCCCACCCTGAAGGGTTTGCACAACCTGTCCCTTCATGCCCACAGTGACAGTGACTTTCTCTCTTACAGGTGCTGGAGGTTGAAGAGTGATCCCTGTGTCCTCAGTGCCCTGCCAGAGGAAAGGAAGCCTAGAGAAAGCTTCTCTGTGGTGTGGTACAGCCCAGGACACAGCTGTGAGTGGCCAAGTGACGGGGTGACACTGTCTTGCTGCCAGCCTGGCCCCATCCCCATCCCACTGCCAGCACCACGGCCATCCCCTTTGTCCCCTGCCAATGCCAGCAGGTGGAGGCTGCACGCCCGATCGCTGCCCTGGCATCCCAAGCGTGAGACCAATCTGTGTGCCCCGCCGACTCCTGCGGGACAGTGGCCATGGGGGCCGCTCTCTCCACTGGAGCGGTCGTGGCAATTTCTTTTAACTGTGTCATCGCRTTGCTCATCATCATCCTCTTCCTCATCCTCTGCAAAGCCTGCAGGACGCCCTCGTGTCCCAAGAAGACCCCAGCTTCTGATGTGGATGAGTCAAAGAAYGAAGAGAAGTACCTGCTGCAGCCCTGATCTGCCTGGGGCCTTGGGTGTCCGGCTGTGCCCAAGGAGTTGTGCCAGACTGGATGCCTGTGCTGGACTGGGCATGATGAAAGCTGAAGGGACACCAAACTGCTGGCGGAGGCTGTGACAGGGGACACAGTCCTTCGGCTTCGTGGTTTTGGTGTGTGAAGCTCCCGGAATGCCCACGGTGTTGATGGGGATGCAGAAGCAACTGATGGGGATATGTTACATGGACAGCCATGCCTGTCCCAGYGGCCAGTGAGCACAGCAGGAGCCTTGCCTTCAAGTGCACCCCATGTTTGGGAAGAGCTYGTGGGCTCCTCTGTGTTGCTCACTGGCCTGGGACAGTGGCCACCACATCGCAGACCTGAGCAAGGCTGGCTRGAGGCGCAGAGAGGGGAGGTTCCAGGCTGGGCTGCTCCATGGCAGGGTGTGCCCAGCGGGACCCCAGCCCTGCCAACAGAGCATTCCATATGTTTGGGGGTGGCCCTGTGTGCCGTGTGCCCTCAGCCTCAGGAGGGCATTTGGCACATGTCTGCCCAAGCAGGGGGTTTAATGAGGCACAAGAGGGCCTGCATGGTGTGCCTGATCRTCCCCTGCCTGTCTGTCAGTCCCCTCCAGCATTAGCACTAACGCTGCTAGGCAAATGACCCTCCTCCTCCTCTCTGAGTGCGTGTCCCTGCCCTCCCTCCTGCCTGCTCCCAGCCRAGGCCAGCCAGTGGGATTTGACCTGCCCTTGCTGGCATCCCCATCCCCACAGAGAGCAGCCCCTGGTGTGGCTTTTTTCTGGGGAGATGGGAGACATGGGGAGATGAGGGTGCCTGGACAAACAGCTTTGAAGGTTTTTTGACCCTTCCTGTTCCCTGGGGATCTCAGTGGCTCTGTGGAGAGGGATGCTGTCATCTGGCTTGTCTGCAAGCCTGGCAGCTGCATCCCCCRCCCTGCCAGCGGGTGCTGTGGGTTTTGGAGGGCTCTGCCTTGCCTTTCCTAGAGCCGAGCAATAGCCACAGTCACCGCCGGCACAGCCACTGCAATAAGGGGACAGAAGGGTGTGGGGTAGGAGGGATGCCAGCCAGGGTCCCTGCACAGGCTTGGCCAGGCCTGGCAGAGCCTGTGGCTCCTCCCCGTGTCAGGTGTAGCAAACACATCCCTTTGCAGCCTTGTTTTTACTAGACTAATAAACAGATTGTAGGACCCAGGTTGTGTCTCTGAGCTGTACCCAGCGCCTGGAAAATTCGGGGGGAGGTGGCATTTCCTGCCATCCCACAGGGCTGTGGGACAGCTGGCCCATGGCTGGTGGCTGATGTCTCTGTGAGTGGTTTGCTCAGGGATGGTGACAAGGAAGGGCTCATGTCCACATCCGTCTGTGGCTCTGTCTGCCTGCCTGGCCTGGGGGGACATGTGGGTGTCTGCAGGGAGCATTCCCCAACCTCTGTGCCAGAGACACGGCAGAGATTCCGAGCTGTGGCCTCACTTTGCAGGGATGCTTGTGGGAGGCACAGGCCAGCTGAGCATATGGACGACACCTGCCACCACACCTGTCTGGTGGCTTTGGTCCCCAGCCCTGGGAGCTGTGCACAAGGATCTGGTGGTGACAGCCGCCGCTCATCAGCATGCTGTGAAGCCACTGCTGCTCCTGCTGCCACCGCAGCCACGTAGCAGCTAATCCTGTGCTGCACACGGAGTGGTGGAAGGCTCTGCAAACCCCGCTGCACAGCCGCTCCCACAGGCACCAGCTGGGCAGGGGCACCCCAAACCCACRCTGAGGCCCCTGGGGAGAGGGGACTGTGAGCCTCCCACAGCTGGTGACTGGCAGCTGCTGTCCATGTGTTGTCCGGAGGCACGGCACGCCTCTCTCCCGCAGTCCTGGAGCACCAGGTCAGGTTTCCAGCCACCCTCTGGCTTAGGCTGCCACCCCAAAATCCAGGGGCAGCATTCCATTTGACTTGCACAAATGCCCGGGGGAGCTGTGGCTCAGAGCTCGGTTTCTCTGGCCACCACTCACAGCAGGACTGGCTGCCATGAAGCTGCAGCCCTGAGGTTTTCCCAGGRCTGGYGGGATCAGCCCCTCCTGCTCCCCTGCAGGGCTCTCACCTGGTGCGAACCCAGAAAAAAGTGGGGAAAGCCGAGGGACACGTGGCTCTGAGGGCCAAGCCAGGTGAGATTTGCCTAACCCCGGACATGAATGCGCACCACAGCTCTCCCAGCACCTCGGTTTATTTGTCTGGGCACAGAGGAAAAGTGTTCCTGCTGTGCAAAAAGTGGGCAGCAGGGGCCCGTGGCTTGCATGCCAAGCAGCCACCGATCAAAGCCCAGTTTGTTTGGCCAGAGGCTGCCCACAGTCATCATTCCCCCTTCTCCTCTTTCTTGGTCCGTGGGTCTCTCACCAGGCTAAGCAGCTTCTCCAGCTTTTCAGTTTCCACCTCGGGACCTTTCTTCACATCCTTGCCTTTCTTCTCCTGCAAAGAGACCAAGCAGGATACAGCTGTGAGCAGGGAGGACTGCAGGGATGAGGAGGTGYCTGACACAGGGAAGGTTGCTGGAGTGCTGTGTCTGAGCTCTCACCCCTCACTGGAGAAGGGTCCACAGGGGGATGCCTGCCTATCCTKGTGTTTCAAGCCCAAGGTGCCATGAGATGTGTGAAAGCTCCTATGAGCTGGGAAATGACACTTTATKATGTGTTTGGACGGGAATGAGAGTGGATCTGTCGATCCACAGTGACTAAAAACCTCTTGTGCCTCTCTCTTCCTAGACCTTCTTAGCCCCATAGGACTGGCCCACCCTCTAAGTTATTCCCCCAAGCTTGGGTCAGTGCCAGGCATGCAAGACTGCTGGGTGGGGTGGTGACAGTAGCGCAGATGTCCCAGACTCCCCAAAACAGCCTCACCATGCCCACCCYGTGCAGGTGCTCCTGGGCAGAGGTAGCCACAGAAGCAGGGATCATTCCTTTTGCACCTAAATGGCTTTTCCCAGGAGGGTGGTTGGGTGTTGAGAGCCCCAAGCCTGGCAGGGAGAAGTGAGTCAGAGCTCCCAGGTGTGCTGGTGACTCCTCACTGAGGCTGTCCTGCACCTGGACACACCAGAGCACCCATGGGACAGTCCTGCCCCTCACTGCACACTGCTGTGCCAGCCTTCATGCACGCCCCAGGAACGGAGGAAAAGCCCTTCCTTCCCACAGACCTGTCCCAAGTATCCCAGAGGGGCTCCCGGCCTGGGTGCTAAAGCAAACCACCAGCATCTTGAGAGAAACYAAACAGCACAAGGGAAAGAACCTGCCCAGCTCAGCCCTGTGCTCAGAGGAGCAGCAGGATCTTTCCAGGCCTGGCAGAGGATGATGACCCCGCTGAAGGTACAAATGGCTTCAAAGCTTTGGGCAGAACAGGTTTCCGCTGTGCTGTGGGCTGCAGCTCTGCTCTCAACAGAGTCCTGGCACTCTGGGGAAGTGATTAACTGGGCACAGTCTCTCCAGGTTCACATCATGTCAGACACAGCTSTAGCAGAGGAATTTTCCAAGCTACACTGAGCCCACCAAGCCCTGCTGCAGCTGAGCACCTACACCATGGGATTTGGAGAAATCTAAAACAAGCGTCCCCACAGTCACCACTTCCTCACAAAGTGCTGCCTTTCAGTCACAGCCTTCCCCCTTGCCAGCCTGCTGGATCTCACCTTGCCCCTGGATGTGGTGGGATACCTGTGCTTTGGGGCTGGGGACCTCCCCTGTGCTCAGATGGCTCTGGGCACCCCAGAAAGCAGCTGCGAGCACATCAGGCAGGACAATGGCACAGTCAGGYAGGTGGGCTCAGGAGAGGTTTGCAGTGGGTACCCAGCGCTGCAGCAGAGCAAAGGGAAGGGAACAGCCCTGACCAGCTTGGAGGCAGCCTGCAGAAAGCTGCTGTATCGGCTCCTCTGGGAATCCCCAAAGCACAGACTCCGCTCTCGGTGCTCTCAGAAGGCCAGGAAAGCAGCACTCAGCATCGGAGGGAGGAGGCTGCCAGCTTTCTTCTCTCCGCACTTAGAGCAGATCAATTGTCGCGCTCGATCAGCCCCGCGAACGGCCGCGGGTGCCGCAATTACAAACACACACCTTCCCTTCCCTYCCYTTCCCTTCGGAGCCGAACAAATGCCAGCACAACGCGGAGGRAGTTGTGAGCCCGCGTGGATCTCCCTGCGTTGCTCTAGCAAACATGGGCATTGCTGAGTGATGACAASGGGAAAAGAGGTCCCCGAAGAATTCCTGTGCTCCTCCCCCATCCCATCCCAGCTTTGACGGAGCAGAGGTTTCCTGAGCTGCCGGAGGACAGTGCTGACATAAAAGCAGTCCTAGGGGGAGGAGGGGGACAGGAATGTTTTTAAACCCCTCTGCTCCCAAGAAGACAGCCCCACTCCTGTTGTGAGCACTGGGATGAGCCCAGGTTGTTTTATTTACGGAGCCCCTCGACTGCACGGTGGGACAGTGCTGGTTTGTGCTCACACTGGTGAGTAGTGCTCTTTGTGGCTCCGCTCTGGGCACTGCGAGGGGTGTTTGCAGTACTGGCCCACGCCACAGCAGAGCGTGGCTCTGAGCGAGAGCCTTGCAATAAACACAGCTGCTCGAGGTATTTCAGGACTTGGCTATTTCTGCAGAAAAGCTACTTTGCTGTCTGATAGCATCCAAACCCCTCCCTTTGGAGCCCTGTGTCACACAGCACCACTCACAGGTACTCGGGACAGGCAAAAGAGGCAACTGCTTTGCTCAAAGGGGAAGAGAAGATGCCGAAGCCACCTCCAATCCATCCACCTCCATCCCAAACCCTTTGCTCTCCSCACTGGCTGGGTCAGAGGGAGTCCCTGACTGATGTCCTCCAGGCCCATAGGAACTGTGTCTAAGCCTTGCTAAATTCACCATCCTCAGGCAAGGCTCAGCTCTTGGTCACAGAACTGTCCCTAAAACTTTGACTTTCACACTGGCTCAGCTCCTTTGGTGCTTCTGAGCACGCTGCAACAAAGCCACACGCAAGCCTGTAATGAGCCGTAACTGAACCAGAGCCCTAATTTAACGCCACATAACCAAGCAAGCAGGATGCAAACAGGGAATGAAAATTATAATGTCCTTTTGGGGGCACTGGATTGGAAATATTCCCTTTATTCTGCCATCTGCTTCTCCCAGGGCACTTGTGCTTGTGAGCTGGCTGGGCCACTGAAGGCTCCAGCACAGCACCGTGGGATCTGCTTGGATGCATGTRGCAGCTTCCTACAAATCCAGGGGCTTTGGCTTTATCAGGTCTCCTGATGTATCCTCCTGAGCTGTGGCGATGTCCCAGAGCACGTGCAAGGCTGACAAAGGGCTCTGCCTCCCGACAGATATCACAGCCAGGTGTGGAGCTGAGCTTGTCCTCCACCTACATCCCTGCCCATACCACATCCATGGGGCTCATAGGAGCTGAGAGGGAGTCAGGGCAGAACATCCTGAAGCTGTTAGATGCAGAGCCGAGATTACATGGGAGGTCTGTCCCTGAGGAGCTCATGGAATGGGTATTAGAGCTGCTCAGAGCAGCATTTGCATCAATTTTATTGTTAACTCCCTCCCACAGGAGAGCAAAATGTTCCTGTTGAAATGGTGAGGAGGAAATGTCAGAAGAGCTCATGKCAGGGCCAGAAATTGTGCTGTGTGGGGATGGACTCTGCCCTGCTGAYAGAGCATGATCTCGGGGAGAGGAGATGAGGAAGAGACCCCTATTTGTGTCCACRCTGCTGCATTTGCTGCCAGGCTCCTCACAGCCCTTATGCTCCTTTTGCCTCATATCTGGGGCCTTCCCTGGCTCCCCAAGCAGGGAAACTGAGGCAAGGAACTCCTGGCCTTAGAGGCAGTGTGCAGGACCCTTGATGGTGAGTACTGGCACTGGAAGTGAAACAGAAGGTGGGAGATGATTGAGGTGGAGCCTCAGGAGAAGGG